AACAGTGTTGTAAATACAACTTAACCACTGATTTCTAGTCGTGTCCTCTTTTGGAAGACCAAACAAAGTATTTTCGGTTTTGCAACGAAACATACATCGTCTTCACAACATGGCGGCGGCGGCAGCAGCAACAATGAGAAAGGAAAACTTGAAATCGCATCATATGACCCCTTTAATTGAAGATATAACTTCTAATATAATTTGTTTGCTGTTGATTTTAGTGGTGAAATGTGATCTGGGCAGATTCCTGACTGGATCCTGTTTGTCTTTCAGTCATTCAGCCGGCTCGTCTGGATGCTGCACCTGTACAGGTGTGTCCTCCTCACACTCTCAGGCATCTGCCTCTGACGTCACAGTCTGCTGACATCACATGACCCAGTGAAGCGTGTCAGACGGATCTCGCTGCAGGTGACAGCAGGAACAGGTGTGTTCTTACCTTTGCCATCTGAGCCTGAACTCCGCTGGTCTTCAGAGCGCTGACGGCTTTCTGAGCAGCAGCAGGGCTGTCAAAGTCCACAAAGCCATAGCCTGAGAGAAAGACAAGCACAACATCAGCTTAAATACACAGCACACATAAACCGAGAAGGGCAACACACAGTTTTGACCTGAACAAACATGGTGTACTACAGTAACAGGGTGAAACTAAAAACACCCATGTACCATTTCAGCCTAAAATAATAATAATAATAATAATAATAATAATAATAGAAAAATAAACTAAAGAAAGCACATTTTAGGAACAATAAATATGTAATATATATTTAATAATAATAATAATAATAATAATAGAAAAATAAACTAAAGAAAGCACATTTTAGGAACAATAAATATGTAATATATATTTAATAATAATAATAATAATAATAATTATTATTATTATTATTCATATTCTTTACATATTCATTACATATTCTATTTTGTATATTTTTTCCTTTAATTTCCTTTATTCTCAGTGGAACAAAACTAAACTAAACTAAATGAAATGAAATGAAATTAAAAATGAAATGAAATTAAAAGTTAGTCCCCTCTCAAGTGATCTTACATTAACAGTTCAAGTACTATTTATTTTATCTTCCATTATAAGATACTTTTGAGTAGGATAAATTAATAATGTGACAAATACACCCATAAACTGAGTATTTTGTGTAAAACTTTTGTGTAATGCTGCATCCAACATAAAATGATTTAGATCACATTCATCCATGCAAAATGTTTTGGAAAGGGTTAATGAAAACTGAAACTCAGTTACTGTAAACAACGGAACTTCTCGTAACAAGGAATGATGTGATTTACAGAAAAACACACAATTTAGTATAAAATAAAAATGCAAGACTCAAAGGATCCTAAATGACACCATCTAATGTGTGCACTGATGTTTTTTGATACACAAATCACCAGCAGACACAGAGCCTCCCGTGAGCGTGTTGCAAATACAAACTGTGTATTGGGTAAAGACCCTTTCAGGGCAGGAGGAAGCAAAGCTCTGCATGTAGAGAGCATCTTATCTCAGTAAGTGTGCTGTGAGTCATATATCAAGAGAAGCGCTGCACTATCAGTGTTTGCTTCCCCTAATGAGAACAATTAAACAGACACGAGGAAGCCGATCCAAGACAAGTCCTTACGTTTAGCTCCACCCTTGACACTCCTCTGCCGCTATATTTAATCAGCCAACAGGTCAAACCACAAACGCACAACATCCTGACTAATAGCTCAAATATATGTGACAAAGAAACACTCACTACACGCAGCTATGATCCATCCGCACAAGTAATAACGATAGTCTTTTGCTAATATACTGTATATGGATTTGCTCTGAAACTACATGAAAGAGTGTTTCATAAAAAAGAGGAACCAACATTTCAACCAAATATAAAATACATTTATATTTTCCAATATACCAACACAGAGAAATTAAGAACATATTCCTACACCTTTTTTACAGAAAAATGGAGAGTCTACTGTAAGCACTGTTGAGTGATTAATTGAACCAGTTTTAAATTGATTCACTGAAATGGACACTTTGAACTGATCCATGTAAAGTTAACCCTATAAGGCCTCTAAATGATCAGCATGATCAACTTTGCTGAAAAACATTGCACACAATCTTTCTTTCATCGTCTGATTGAGAGTTTAGGCTTTTTTAGCGAGTAAAAGGTCTTTTAATATAATTGCATAAATGCCCACCTTCAGCTTGTGCTTCACGTGTCTTTTCGCTGTGAAATCTTTACTGATTTTTATCAAGTAAACGCAAGAATAACTTTTATATTGTTAGTAATATTTCAAGATGAACACTTACTGGACTGAAGTCATTTTTTACTTGATTACCCATCATTGTTTTTTAGAAAAATCATGTTCAAATTTGAGTCTTTTGAGGAACGTTAATTTGTTCATCTCTCAATCATCATTGTATTGCATTGCATTAAATGTTTTGATCATAAAACTTAGCATTTAAATATCATCTTATTAAGACATTATTGGAGAGTGACAGTTTGGGCCTCTGAATAAAACTGAGCTGTTTTTTTCTCCATATTCTCACTATATCATACTATATGAGCCATAAAAGCCAAATGGATCAAATATGATACTTGACAAATGCACATGCAAACTTTCTTTTAATATATTTTGTTCAATAAACTGTTCAAAAATGACACTTTTCTGACTATTATTAACCAGACTTAACCAACCTAACTGTAAAACTAGTCTAAACTAGAATCATTAATCAAACAAAAAGCTTATTTTTACATTTCCAGCAAAATCATGTAACTATATAAGCTTGAGCAGTTTGATGTGAAAGTGAAAGTCAGGCTCTGCTGGTTAAACTATGGGTTGGGTCGGTCGTTCAGTCACATTTAGATCATTTGCATTCGTGCATCACTGTGATACTCTGGGTTAATATTTTCCATCTGGCTTCTTTAGATTCGGCAGGGTTGAGGAGTGCCGGACTGAAGCCGCTCCATCAACACCCTCCTCCTCAGGCTCGACTGAAATTACTCAGCACATAAATTATCCACAGCGCTGTGACTAAGCCACAATCTCCGAGGCAGTCGTGCCCCCGAGGTGCCAAAACCAGGAACGGAGCCAGATCCTGGACTACAGCGGCCTGGAACAAACCCCAGAGGCCTCAGTCAAGACAGCGTGTGCTTACAGATGAGAAACTCGTATTTGCACGCACTTATATAATATATTGCAATGCCTTTGTTGGCAATATATGGACGCCTGTTTCTGCCACATGATAAAAACATAAAAAAGGTCATTTTGACTTTTTATCTCAAAATTTTGACCTTCATTCCCACAATTCTGACTTCTATTCTCATAATTCTGAGTTTAAATCTCACAATTCTGACAGTTACTAAATCAAACAATATGTGTATGTATCCATATCATACTTTTTTGTAGGGATGCACTGAATGTTCGGCAACCGAAATTATTCGAATAAGCCGAATAAGCAAAAAGGCAGAATAATATGTATATAATAGGCACGCACTAATGCAGCAAACATGTCGGCAGTGTGAAAGTATTTCAAACTATCAGAGAAAGACGCAGAAATCATTACAAGCATGAAGCACCGACAGCGAGAGACTGTTTAGAGAATGTTTTAAAATAATTCTCTTCTGCTCAGCAACACTCTTAAAAATAACGGTGCTTCAAAAGGTTCTTCGCGATGCCATAGAAGAACCATTTTTGGTTCCACAAAGAACCATTCAGTCAAAAGTTCTTTAAAGAACCATCTATTTCTTACCTTTTTATAATCTGAAGAACCTTCTTTCGCCACAAAGAACCTTTTGTGAAACAGAAAGGTTCTTCAGATGTTAAAGGTTCTTTATGGAACCATTTAGACAAAAAGGTTCTTCTATGGCATCGTGAAGCACCTTTATTTTTAAGAGTGAAGGCTGCCTTTATTTGTACAGTAAAAAATACATGCCTGATTCAAGCCTCAAAAATGGCCAAAAAATATTATTTTACTAACTTATTCATTTGAAGTTAAATTGTGCTTTGTTGGTATAATGTCTGCTAGAATGTTAAAAAAATGTTCAGTTACGTAAATATTTTTAAATTGTTGTTTTGTAATTGATTTTTTACTTGAAAAGCAGGACAAAACAGTAAAAAGCACATTTTGGCTATTTAATTTATGCAATGGTGAAAAAAATAGGTCTACATGGGGGAAAAATGCAGAAAACCGTGTTCAGTATTCGGCCTTTGGCCCAGTGTTTCATTTTGTTCGGCTTCGGCTAAGAATTTTCATTTCGGTGCATCCCTACTTTTTTTGTCTTATTTCACCAATGCCAAATTCAAACCTACACCTTGGTTGAAATTATGGTTTTCCTGATATATATCACACTTTTAAGGTATTTCAGAGGAAATAAATACATTTTGAGATGTATTGAAGATTATCAAAAGGCTGAATTTTTTAGATCTACCCATATATACAATGTCAAGGTTGCAGCTCAACGGTAGTGAATCATGACGTGACTCTGATGAAAAGCACTATACACAAGCGGAGGACCAGATAAAAACACTTTGTGGTTGGTCGAAATCACAGTATAAGATGCAACCAAGTCAAAAATCACTTCTATGCAATGTTAATACATGACTATACACCATGAGCTGATCCATACATTTATGGCTGGCAAAATATGTCATATAGAGGTTGCATGTTTCATGAATGATGAGATTCATGAAAATGAATAAAAGCCTGAATGTGCACTATATTGAAATGCTACTGAATGTCCAGTTTTTCAGCAGCCTTGGTTCTAAAGTATTTCTTCCAATTCGTTTTTTTTCCTATAGTAAATTTAAGAAATTTGGCAAGCAAACATGATTTTTATTTACTTATCTATTTGTATTTTTCTACAAGGAATGACATGTACAGATAACAGGCACATTATTTTTATAACATACAATGTTTTTTATTATCATTTAAAATGGGTTTTTCCATGAAGAAATGAGCAGGATTTATACTCGGCACTTTACTGCAAAATCAGCTGCGTTTTTCATTATCTCAGTCATAAGAACCATTTTCAGGATCTGTTTTAATTAAAAGTTGATGTGCACATCCATACAATGTGATGATTCTGAATCTACTGAATTAAGCAGCTCTCAGAGGAATATGACATCTCATCTTAGCACAAAACTCTAAACTGCACAGATTCTGAGCCACAGAAATCAGAACATACACATACATACCTTTGCATCTGTTTGTGGCTTTGTCTAAGATGGCCTTGGTTGATACGATTTTTCCATATCTATAACAAGAACACACAGAGATGGGTTAAGAATTTTGAAACACACACAGATATAAATGGCTCAGTTTAAATGTTAACCTATATGTACCACGGTTATTATCTAACTAAAACTAAAACCATTAAAAACAATTTAATGACTTGAAAGAAAATAAACGCTATCTGAAATAAAATAAAACAAAAAAAACATACATTTAAATTTCAGCTAGTTGCCAAGGTAACATTTCTCAGTTTTGTCTATTGTAAGCTGAAGTACTAAAATAACTAAAAATAAATATATATATATAATTATAAATACAATAATTAATTAAAAACAAAAAACAAAACTATATAGACTTACTTAAAAAAAAAATACAAAAACAAAAAAAATACAAAAACTTTCAAATTCAAATGAAAACAAATATATATGATAATATTATATATTATATTAAATTATTATATACTATTACTGCTATATTGACACTATAATAGCATATCAAATAAAAAAAATACTGATGTACTTGCATACAATTACTGAAGAATGGAAACAGCACAATTAAATCATTCACAAAACTGCTTACATTTGCTAAATATATTGTGAATATATTTAATATGTCACTAGTTTGAATGCATTTCTTTATTACAGTTGCTAAGTGAACATACAAAATACCTGCAACAATATTTGAAACGAGAAGATAGTGGGCAAGTGACCAAGCTATCTCTTTAACACTTTTTGCCTAAAACACTGAAAAGGAGTGAATCTTTAACCATGCGTCGTTGTATTCTGGTATATTCTGTACACTTCTAAGACAGAAACGAGCACTGCAAGAGGCGTCGTCTCTGGAGGAGAACAGAGCGGGCAAAGGAGTCCTTGGGGGAAATGTGATTGATTTATGAGGAAGTTATAAAAACTGCAGTGGAATGCTGTAAGGCACATGTGAGTGAAAACATGACCTTTGACCTCACAGCACGGGCACCAACACAACCTCACGAGCCACAGCCACCGATGACGAGAAAAAAAGGGTCATTAAGTGCTTTCAATTAATAACCAAATAGGAAAGACTTCATGAGATTTGAAATCCAATTACAGCAGATGAGCCGTGCTTCAATCAAAAGCTTGAAGGCGTTAAGTGGCAGAAAGAGAAAGTAATTCAATGCTTTTTAGCCACTTTTTCAATGTCTCGGTTTGGCAAGCATTTTTCCCATTGGGATTTAAAAAAAGAGTTTGTTAAAGAGTTTCACAAGCCGTGATCCAAACCAAGCAGCTGTGAGGAGATTTACAAAATTACATACTTTGATCTGAAGCAAAAAAAGTGCTTGAAAATCGGAGAGAAAGACAAAGGTGCAAGACCGTACTTAACAGTTTTAGTGGGGGAAAGAACTACAATCCCATGCAGCACTGTGAATGACATAACTGAAACAAAAACAGCTAAATATATAACTAGTGATGTAAAGATGTCAAATTTTGTTTATTTGACAAATATAAACACAAACACACATATACACAAAAATATTTAAGAAGTTCTTTTTTGCGTGCTTTGCTTGTTTCGATGAAGATTTCTCTGTAGAATCATGGGTAATGTAGTTTTTTTCTGATGTTAAACACCATTCTTTTAAAAAATAAGCTGAAATAATGCGGCTGATGGCTTCAACAAATGCATATACCATCGATTAACATCCTCGTAGCTCACGGTATGTCTGTCGTAATGATTTATAAGTTACTGTTCAAAATCAATTCTCCAGTGGAGAAAATGAATGGGATTTTTACTTCCAGAAGCTGACTGTAGCGCTCTATAATCACAAAAATACACAGCATACAAACCCGATTCCAAAAAAGTTGGGACACTGTACAAATTGTATGAAATTTAAAATCAACTTATTTTTCCCTTAAAATGATAAATTTTCTCAGTTTAAACATTTGATATGTCATCTATGTTCTGAATAAAATATTGAAATTTGAAACTTCCACATCATTGCATTCTGTTTTTATTCACAATTTGTACAGTGTCCCAACTTTTTTGGAATCGGGTTTGTACACAAATACTGAATAAATACATTTTTCATCCATTCTAAACAAAGAATATAAGTGATGCTGCATTGGAAATTAACCAAAGTAGGCATATTTTTACGTAGGCAGCTCACTAGGTTTTGTAACAGAGCGAACACGTTATGAAAAGTTGACAAATGTCATTCATTAATCTCGTTGTCCGGAGAGAAAGCACAATAGCGTTTATGGGCCTTTTTATGTGCTTCATCGCCCGGTTTACCGGAAAACGACGAGGCCATCAGGAGGAAAAACCCGTCCTAATAGGCCGCCTCTCCATTAGCTTCCGCTGAAAATCTATTACAATTGAATTGCAGCGGCCAGACGGTGGAGGAAAGGCCGAGAGACGGATAGAATGTAGTTTCTGAGAGGAGGAACAATGTGACTGGTGTTTCACCTGCCATTTCAACCCCAGACTTGATCCCATTAGAGAGCTCTAGTTTCCCTCCACCAGAAGCGTATTGATCTCCATAGTAAGAGCTCAGGGCTGTGTTTCATTACTCGGCTTAAGCAAACATCAGCAGCCCGTTCTGCTCTGTGAATACAGTCTTCATATAAACACATGTTGAGATTAACAAGAAATGCACAATATTTGGTGACCATAACAGCACTGGTATGTTAAATAAACAATACAGATTTACAATACAAATTTAATTTTAGGTCATTCACGAACACTGCATGAGGATTTTTTTTTTTTAAGTATTGAGCTCAAATAGTCTCAAAAGTAATGCATTCACTAAATATATATCCACGCACAACAATTTGCAAATGCAGATTCAAAACTCAATTCAGATTGTGAAACTAGTCAAATGACACAGTCTTTAGGAAACAGCACAATAAAATCAATTTCCAAATTGCAGAAACATTCAGAAATGTGCAAACACACTCGCGTATTTATGAACTGTGTTTTGCATTTGTGAATTTTACTTTCAAGTCAAGTCAAGCCATACAGATTATGAATGTAAATTTGGTTGTGCATTTGCAAACTGTATTTCTGAAAACTAATTAGTTCATGAGCTTGCGAATTTGCAAATATAAAAGCTTTTTTTGTGAATGTGAATTAGCATATGGATTTAAATTATTATTATTTTGGAAATACATTAATCAGAAAAATATTTTGAGCTAAAATAGTGTATATATACATACACACACACACACATATATA